ATCCCCCTTTAACAATATTTATTTCACAAAGTTTCCTTTTCTTTATTTCTTTCCAAGCGAGCCAACAAATGTGTACAATTAGAACAACCACACTTTTTTTGCTTTTCTATTTTTTTTTCCTCCCCCTCCCCCTCTCGCTCTCTTTCTAGGGGATGTAGAGAGAGAGAGAGAGAGAGAGAGAGAGAGAGAGAGAGAGAGAGAGTGAGTGAGTGAGAGGGGAGGGAGGGAGGGGTGGAGTGAGAGATTCATTTGTTTTTCTCTTTATTCAACAGAGCGTAATTATATCGCGTGACCTTTGCTCCCCAACGTATTCTACAGGTCGTAACTCTAGTTCGCGGTAAAAAATTACGAATCAACGTACGCGTATAGCCTCGTATAAAACGTTTACTGTTTCATTAAATGAATGAAACGAAATAAATTCGTTTGATTTTATTTATGTATTTTTTTTTCTTTTTTTTCTTTTTTTCCTTTCTTTTTTCATACGCCCATCTTTTTAAAACACTTCAGTCGTAAAATTTATTTTACCATAAGTTATACTATCGAGAATAAAGGAAGAGAAGAAGTGAGAGTGAGGATGAGATTGAAGGTAAAGGTGGAAGGTAATGGGAGGAAGTGGGAGGAGCTAAAGAAACAAAACAAAAATAGAAGAAAAAACAAAGCAGAAAAATATCAAAAAAAGAAGAAAAAATAAAAAAAAAAAAAAAAAAAAATAAACGTCTCTTCCTAGATGAGGGATGATAGGAATCTAAAAAAAGCCACAGAGAGAATTTAGGTGATATTCTCACGAATATCAAGTTCGTCGCAGCAAAGGAAAAAGGAAAAAAAAAAAAAAAAAAAAAAAAAAAGAAAAGAAAAAAACAAGAAAAAAGAATAAAAAAGAAAGAAAAAGAAGAGGGGAACCGAAGCTCTCCTTGTACTTTTAATCTCCACAAAAGGAAATCTTACTTTGTACACGTAGGTGGATGGAGGATACCCATCGCGGTTTTCGTCTTACGAAAAATACACTTCACCTGTTTTTTGTGAGCCATTAAAATAAAGATGAAGGGGACGAAAGGAAGAGAGACAGAGAAGGAGAGAGAGAGAGAGTGAGGGGGGAGGGGGAAAGAGAGTAAGAAAAAGTAAGAATAAGAGTAAAAGATACGCAATTTTTTTTCTTTTCTTTTTTTTTTTTCCTCCGATTCGTTACGTTCACAAAATTATTTTTTCATATACCCATTCTTTTTCTCTTTTATTTTATTTCTCTCTCTCCCTTCCTCTCTCTCTCTCTATCTCTCTCTTTTCTTTCCTTTCCTGAAAGAAGATCTCTTCTCATTCGTTAAATTCTCACGGATTGCTTTTCTTCCTCGTTATATCGAAATTATCTCGTAATTCTTTTAATGAGCTGCGAGACTGTAGAAAAATGAGATCCTCTTTTTTCTTTCTACCTTCTTTTTTTTCTTTTCTTTTCTCAAATTTTTTTTTTCCCATTTCGATAAGAAATTATTTAATCCATAAATTATTTGTTTTAAAATATTCGTCTATCTAAATTTTATTACACGTTACCATGAAAACGATTGTTTTAAATATCCTTCTCTCTCTCTCTCTCTCTCTCTCTTTACTATATAATTACTGTAACATCGTTTAATATGTGCATAGCAGCAAGCAAGCTAGCAAGCAAGCTCGAGCCGATCGAAGCGATCGTAAAATCATCGTTAATTACACGTTAATATACGGTCCACGAGTCTTTTCGGCCCGTTACATTAACCTATTTTTCGCCAAATCTATGAGTTCTATTCGCGTCGACGACACGAAATCGTTTTCTATGCGGATCGAGTGAAATACAATATTACGATCGAAGAAGAGGATCGAACGAAGCGAGGCTTTTAAGGTTGTAGGATAAAATGTTGACAATGGGGTAGAGGGCGGTGGTCGTAGGTGGGGTGAGCTATGTTTTAAATCGGATGAACGAAGATGATTGGAAAAAAAAAAAAAAAAAAAGGAAAAAAAAAAAAGAAAAAAGAAAAAAGTTCGATTCGATAGAAAGAATTCATGGCCTATATTCGTTTAGTTCTTTTTTAACTACCGAGCTGAACCGCCACAATTCGATCCACCAGATATGATCCTTCGATATTTCAAAAATGAGATTGCTCTATTGTAAATATAATTCTTTAAATAACTATTATAAAAACGTGATCAATATTCGAATATATATCTTGATTTTAACTTTGAATCGATTATAATATTCACGCATATTTCATATTTTCCTATGCCTATCTTTTTCTCTTTCTTTATCTCTCTTTGTGTGTGTGTGTGTGTGTGTATTTAAACTTTATCTGTTTGTGTGTTTTTTTTTTTTTTTTTTTTTTTTTTTAAATAATCTCTTTTAAAATTTATTATATTTTCGGTTAAATCTTATAAATTTGGTATTCTAAAACAATTTCGAAAGAGATTGGATATTATTCGAAGCTCCTTTAATTAGTAACTTTCATCTAAAGTTTCATCCGTTACGGAATTTTCTTTAATTAAAATATAAATTTTTTATGTGGAATACATACACACAAAATACACACACACACACACACAAATATATATATATATATATATAAATAAGACTTTTCGATTTATGAATATTAATATATCTCGTTAACTAGTTTG